GTACGCCAGGAATAGGGTGCTAGGGGCTTTTTTGGAAGGCTGGCTTTTGTGTGCAAGAAGGTAAGGTCAAATACAAGAAGTCCTGCAGCAGGGGTATGCATACACTCCAGCACTTCACCAGATAAAGGAGATATATTTACCCCTTTCACAGATTGTAAATGGCTATTAAACACCAGATGCATAGCTAAAAGTTGGCTTTCTGGATCTGCCTTGCAGTTAAGCAAATTTCTACAAGCAATGCTAAATACAAATGCAATTTGTATCTGGAGAGTTTGAGAGAGCTAAATACGAAAAAGTGAGGAAAAAGGGCAGACTGAGGCAGAATCTCTTCTAGGCAGATACTGAAGTTGAGAAAGCCCACAGTAAGATAAGGAGTTCAGCAAGGCAAAGAAAAGCTGCCCTGTGTGGTATTAGCCAGAACGGGGGTCAGAAATAAAATTACACAGAATCACAGAATGTTTGGGGTTGGCAGAGACCTCTGTGGGTCACCCAGTCCAACCCCCTGCCCAAGCAGGGTCACCCAGAGCAGGCTGCACAGCACCGCGTCCAGGCGGGGCTGGAATATCTCCAGAGAAGGAGACTCCACAGCCTCCCTGGGCAGCCTGGGCCAGGGCTCCGTCACCCTCAGAGGGAAGAAGTTCTTCCTCATCTTCAGGAAAAAAAATAAAATCAGGGAACAGCAAGCCAAAGGCGATGCTGCTCAGGTCAGACCAAGACCTTCAGCTGATGCAAATCCAGAGGTAAGACAGCTGCAAGAGACAAATTCCCTCTTCTTTAGGCAAAGTAGTCTTAAAAGCGACAGTGTGCTTGAGTGTTTCTAAACATTGAAACCGTGCTCCAGCATGCTGAAATTTCTCCTTCCCCACCAATCTTTGTCTTCACTGAAACTATTCATCCCATCACCTGTAATATACTGCAAGAAGGAGCAGGGCAACGGGCACAAACTGAAGCAGAGGAAGCTCCAGCTGAAGATGAGGAAGAACTTTTTCCCTCTGAGGGTGATGGAGCCCTGGCCCAGGCTGCCCAGGGAGGCTGTGGAGTCTCCTTCTCTGGAGATATTCCAGCCCTGCCTGGACGCGGTGCTGTGCAGCCTGCTCTGGGTGACCCTGCTTGGGCAGGGGGTTGGGCTGGGTGACCCACAGAGGTCTCTGCCAACCCCGAACATCCTGTGGTTCTGTGACATCAGGCTTGCATGAGCATCCACATAAGACCCAAGGCAATATGTATTCCTTGTTCCTGGTGGGGAGGAACTGCAGGAGTATTACTGCACTTTCCCAGGAAACTCTACACATTCCGACCGAGAGCTGACACGCTGGAGCTACCACGTTCTCAATACTCACTCCTAAGAGAAGAGATGGAGGAAAGAGCCCGGGAACAGGCAAGACGGACTCTTTGATGGCAAGTTTTGCTCTGGACCAGCTGTTACTCAGTAGGGCTTTGCTCATACCTTGTCAGGATTTGTTTCCTCCTCGAGAAGCCTTTCATTTCAGAACTCGCACCATCCTGAATTAGGCTTCCCACTCCGAGATCAACTCGCCAGTGCTGACCCCGTCAGCTGTTCAGATTTGATGTACAGTGTGTGGGTGGAAGAGGGGAGGAGCCCATCTGTAGCTGAAATATGATTTGCAAGCCTTTTACACAAATACAAAAAAAAGTTACTAAGAACGGAATTTTAAACATCATTTGTCGACTGTGGCCTACATTTTTTTTGCAGCACAAGAATCCATTTTATTATCATCGCTGCCTAAGCCTGGTATGCATGAAAGCTCCTTCCCAAACCATCCAAACCATCTCACCTAAACGGCAAGTTGTCAGCTCACACTACCATGGGATACTCAAGCCAGTCTCAACTGAAAAATCACAAGTACCTCAGTGCAGCAGTTGTCTGAAATATTATTTTAACTTGTCTTTTCAAAAAAACTTATCACAAGTGATTTGCTAGCTATAGTGTTACACCAATTTTTTTTCCAAGGAAATTGGAAAGTTTTGTTTCACTGCTAAAGAGCAAGATATGGTCTTCAAAAAAAAGACAGGAATCCAAAGCTGGAGGTTATTTTTTACTAGAAGACTTTCTGAAACAATAAAAAAATGTTACAGTTAATTCTTTCCTCCTGGAATTAAATCAGACATGCTCGGTCAAGGTGGTGATACGGAAAGGGCAGTCTGACTTTTACAAAACTGATATTCAAGCATCATCAATACACACAAAGGACAGGCTCTTAACGCACATTTGTTACATTGCAACCTTCGCTCAGCCTCGGTAAACATCTTTGGAACACAGATCTTAAGAACAAAAATCCAAGAAACTTAAATATTCACAGGACAAAACCATAACATTATTAAAACTATGAACAGTAAGACTTACAGAGATCAGGAAAAGCAGGCTGCCTACGGCTAACCAAAACAGAGCTCGCAGAAGTGACGCTGATCACAAGCACGGGTCTGCCGCGCAGAGGCTGGATTCCAGCAACTCGGAACGCTTACGACTAAGAGGCAGCTTTGGAATTTGGTTACGTGCCTAAGGCAGGGAGGCAGTAAGAAATGGTAAGTGTGCAGAAGGCAAAGGCAAGGTAAACTAGAGCTAGAAGTTCTCGTTAAACCAGGAGTCCAGAACCACAGCAAGGAAAAAAAGGTTGGTTGTTCTTTTAAAATTAAAAAGTTAGCCAGAAGTTATCAGCATATTCTTTCTATATTGCACAAAGTTTTAAATTAACTGAAAAATTAGAAAACCCTGCATTTATAACAGCTACATTTAAATATATTCCAAGTGGAGTTTAGCCTATATAGTTCAGCTTTTAAACTAATTCAGCATTTTTCCCCTAACAACCGCACAGAGCATTTCTGTGACTCTCTGTCTTCTCAAGCGCTCTCCAAACTAATGAAATGCACCATGTAGCAAAGACAGCACTACCAGCTCTCCTTAGTACAGCACGGATTTATTGCTTTATTTTACTACTGACAAAGGCTAAGATCTAAACTTTTAGAGAATTTAAGGCAATCCCACAAGACCAACACCTTAAGGGCATTTACGGCACACAGTGGTCTCCATTCAAACACCAGGAAAAGTTTGATATTTAATAACGACAGGAACACCCAGATATTAACCAAAAGGACCCTTTCAAGCATCAGGTATTATCTTCCAGACACATAACCCAGCACTGAAGTCGTAAGTCATTCCAGAGCACCAATGTTCAGAAAAAGGAAAAAAAAAAAAGGAAAGAAAGAAAAAGTCAAAGCAGGAAGTTCCTGGACATCTTACATGTCTCATTCTCACTCATCTAAGAGCTCGTTGGAAGATTCACTCAGATGTTTGAACAGCCAAATCACTTTTTTCCATTCATAACACAGAGGATGAATTATGATCTGTCAGATATACTTAAAATGGAGCTTACAAATAAGCGTTCAGGACTGACAAAACTCATGGCGAAATCTTAACAGCTTTACAAGCCGATTCACCTGCAAGAGCTCCAAATATTGGGTTTTTTTCCAATATTTCTTTCATATCCCACAGAATTCGCCACAGGCTCCTTGTCTGATACTCTGTCTTAATAACTGCCAGGAGAGCCTGGCTCTCTAAAGCAGTGCAGTGAAAATATCATCACGAGCATTTCTGTGCCTGCGGTCTTCATTACTCACAACCAAGTTTACTATCGACACAGATTTATGAACTGCCAGTCCTGCAAACCCACTCAGACGAACAATTTGTAAGAAAAACAACTAAAACCAAAAAAAAGCCCAAATCAAAACAAAAAAACTCCAGCAAGAACAGGCTTGTCAAAACACCTAAGTGTGCTCAGCATTCTGCTAACCCTTCCCTTACAAATACTTTGGAAATTAACTGAAAGAACACGTAAAATTCTTTACAAGCGATGCAAGGTAACACTGGTCCAATGCGCATGTGCACTATTTTTATTTCTGTAGAGAGTGAAAACAAATACCATACAGAAAACAGCAGACTACAGTTTGTAAAAGAAAGAATTGGGGTAATTGCTTCAAGATGGTTTTGTGAAAACAGAAAAGGTGACTTTCTGTAAAAGAAACTAAGCAGCAGTTATTTAAACTCCAGACCAGGTACAGCCTGACTGGATTTGCAGTAAAATTTGATGAAGCAGAAATGACTGACGACGTATGAAAAATCAGCAGAGTCCTACTGCCATCCAGCAGGATGAATGGAGACAACCTGCACTCAGCAGAGAACCCTGCGTGTAAACTAGTCCCATCTGAATCAGAGTCATCGAGACAAACATGACTTCACGGTGCTACTTGTAATTTTTTAGAGAGAATTACTTCACCAAGAAGCTCCCACAGCTTCCTACAGCCTTTTCTAAAAGAAATCAATGCAAATGGCAGGTTTCTGGTCAGCCAGAGAACCCACACTGCACAGAGCGCTTGTGGTACCGTCCATCTGGGAGGACGGCAAAGAGAAGTTTTTGTTCAGAGGGCAACTTGTGCTCCTTTAAATGAAGATAGCAACTCTCATCTCTTTGGAAGAAGAAAGACCAGGGGGGTTGTAGCACTCACTGTCACAGCAGAAAGCAGTTTTTGTCACATAAAAAGCCTGGGACATGTCCTGTAACTGAAGGAACTTTTGCCCTCAGCATTTCTTCAGAGCACAACTAGATAGATTTATACTGAGAAACCTTTTTCAATGCTTTAACAAACAGGTTAATGCATTTTCCTTGCCAATGTTCCCTAATGCACAAGTACACTGGCTTCCATTCTGCTAAAAAGAATCCCTACAGAACAAGTCATTCAAGAAGCCACATAAATTATTTCTTGGCACTTCTCTGCACGCAGACAGGAGAAGTTTCAGCCACTGCAACAGCATGTTTTAGTTTTGAATACCTGATGCCAAAGATGTTTTCTTTTTTTTTTTCTGAATTCATGACACGCATCAATATTAGCATGACAGGAGTCATTCTTCTCTTCAAGCTGAAGGATTTAACATTTAGCTCCTTTTGAGTCAGTGACTCAAACACTAATCCTGCGTGCAAACAAAGCTAGGATTTATCATTCGCAGCAGCAGGATTCACTGGGCGCTGTCTTACAGCATTCGGTGACGAGCTTCTGTCAGACTCCTCTTTACCCTCCGTTTCATCATCCGAGATATCTTCCTCGTCTGCTTCTTGCTCTTCATCCAGCTTTTTCAGCAGCTGAGCTGACTCTGGAGCTAGCTTTCCTTAAGAGGAAGGAACACACGCATACACAAATAAATACCATTACCGTGTGAAATACTCTTTTTTCAACATCAGGGGCTAGCACAGAATTTTAATGAATTTAATCCAGGTAGCACGTTGCAATATCAGTCGCTTACGCTGCTCTCTTAGGTAGAATTGTTGCTAGCATGAAGTTACCCACAGGTCAAGCAGTACAGACTACCCAGACAAGGTAACATAAAACTTCCTCCAGGTTTGAAAAAACGGGTCAGGTTCCCACAAGCCATAAACCAGAATTCAAATGTTCTTCCCCGACTTTTGAAGACCACCTTGAAAAATTCCAGAGGCTAACCCCAAACTGAATCACTTACGATCGACAGAAATGCAAATTCACTTTTATCCTCACTTTGCCCTCAAAACTTCTGCAAATCCCCAATTTAGCAACACTCAGAGCTCCACCCAAAACTTTTACTCTTATCTCCCTGCACATACAGAATTTCTTATCTTGCAGGTATGAAAATGCTGTACAAACATTTTTCTATCCCGTAAAAGTGTTTTTTAAAAGCAGTTTAGCTTTAGCTAAATACAAAATACAAGCCCACTATAAACCCTAAGGGCAAGCAGCTGCAGACAAAGCACAGCACCAGTCACAAGTGTAAACTTCTACACTAAACCTCATGTCCTGCAGACACATTACATACCGGTATTTATTAAATAAGATTTACCAAACAGCTTCACTGATGGAGAATTACAGAGTGGACTTACTTGAATAAGGGTACTGTGGCGGTCTGTACCTTTTGGATGGGCAGATACAGTCTGCTAAGAACACCATTATCTGAAACCAAAGGCAGACACGTTTAAACCTCCAAACATCCTGCACATTAGAATCATAATCATTTAGGTTGGAAAAGACTCTTAAGGTCATCAAGTCCAACCGTTAACCTAACAGTGCCAACTCCATCACTAAACCATGACCCTAAGTGCCACATCTACATGTCTGTTAAACACCTCCAGGGACGGGGACTCTACCACTGCCCTGGGCAGCCTGGTCCAATGCTTGATAACCCTTTCAGGGAAGAAATCATTCCTAATATCCAATCTAAACCTCCCCTGGTGCAACTTGAGGCCATTGCCTCTCGTCCTGTCGCTGGTTACCTGGGAGAAGAGACCAACCCCCACCTCACTCCAACCTCCTCTCAGGCAGCTGTAGAGAGCGAGAAGGTCCCCCCTCAGCCTCCTCTTCTCCAGACTGAACAGCCCCAGCTCCCTCAGCCGCTCCTCATCAGACTTGTTCTCCAGAC